ACGTGAATCTTTGGAAGAGTTCCCAGCTCAATTTTCTACCTCTGGCTTCCAAGAACATTTTAAAAAGAAACATTAAATTTATTTTGTTTCATATGAATTTGGAATATTGCAAGCCCATCAGTCACCTAAGGCCTCATTTTTATTTCTTCAAAAGAAAGGAAAACGCCCCCCAAGAAAGCGACAATTTGGACTTCTATCCTCGTCCCTTACGGGAGGGTCTCGCTTCCCCTGTAAACTGCAGAAAGGGAGAACTCCTCCACCATGACTGCACACGGCAACTCGAAGTGACAGAGGCGACAAGGGAGGTGTGGGAGAGGGCGGGGCGTGGAGGGGCACACGTGCTGGCGGCGAGTAGCCCACGACGGTGGCACAGGCCACTCCCATTCCGAACTCCTCCGTGTGAACGGAGGTCATTGTGCAGCCAGGACTCGTGCAGCGCTCCGCATCCCCTGCCGGTGGCAGTTACTAATCTTACGACGGAGGATGCTGGAAAGTGTTTGGCAGAAGGCGTTTGACAATATTTGCCTGTTTTCTGCTGGGAGCTGCCTCCAGATCACGTAGCCCCGCTTATTGTAGGCTGCTTGGCTGCTGTATTATTTGTCCCTACAGCAGGGATGGTCTCGAGGGCTGTAGAGAGGGGACTCGTGGCACGGAGGGAGAAGGGGGAGAAGCAAATAGCTCCTAACCCAACTCCAGAAACAAGCCAGGTGTCCCAGAAAACCTCGGCACTATTGGGCCGGTGGCTGCTGCCTTGATGGTCAGGCCATGTCCCTTCCTGGGCCTGCCTGCCTCAGGTCCTGAGGGGCTGCACTCTGCCACTGGAGAGAGGGGCCAACATGAAGGATAGAAACGCCTCAAAGAATGAGATGCCATGTGGTGGAGTTGGGTTCCTGTTTTCAGAAGCAGCATTTTGTACTGTGGGTGAAGATATAAAATGGTAAAGCCATTTGAGGGGGTAACTTTGCAATCCTATTAACATTATCTGGGTACCCAGCACTTCCATGTCTCAATATCCATTCAGGAGAAACACTCCAGCAGGTGTGCAAGGGGACATAAGAAGATGTTCTTTGGGGCATTGTTTGTAATGGCAAAGACGAGATCTGGACACAACCTGACAGTCTGTCAAGAGGGCAATGGCGAAATCAATCCCACTGTTGTCTTACATGGAATACTGCATAGCAGTTAAAGTGAAGTTGTTCTTTATGGACTAAGATGAGTATAGCTTCAGGACGTTCTACTGGGAAAGAAAGCAAGGATCAATACGTAACAGGTTGTAGAACAGTATTTTTAGTGTGATAGGTCTATATTCTTTTTATAAGGGAGAAAATACTAAAAAAAAATCACCGTTCAGAAATGTCTATCAGTACGTAAGCATGTAAACACGGAGGCAAGGGACAGTACACATAGATATACACATATGTATGTACACACACATGAATATTTCTCACTGGGAACAAGGTTGTTCTGGAGGGGGAGGCAAGGGACTACATGAAGAATGGACTTTAGCCTTATCTGTAATTTTTCATTTTTTAATAAGGAAATGTATTACTTGTGTAAATAAAATTAAAATTAAAGGTATATTTATCAAATTTATTTCTATCTTGCCTTTTTCTAAAAAGATAAAAGAAAAAGAAGAAAATGAGACAAAGGAAAGAAATTGAAAAGTATATAAGCATCAGATTTAGCTCTGAACTCCCTGGCAGCCAGAGCAAAAAGGGGACATGGTATAAATTACATCATTTTCCCCAAATGGAGGGTGCATCCAGTTCCTTTTGAGACAATTTTCTATACTGAAACTATATTCTAAACAAATTTACTCATGTGGGACTTTATCTGGAGCCCACATGTTGTCCACCACAGTTTCAAGCATGATTCTATTCCTATTTAAGTATAGAGAAACGTCCTGCTTTTTCTTCCCTGATGTTTACAGACACTCTCCCCCACCTCCCTCTCCCACCTCATCTGTACTGCTGTCCTCCTCGCTCACTATGCTCCAATCACACAGGTTGCCTTCTATAGTTCCTCGAACAAGCTCAGCCTACTCTCATCCTGGAGAGAGTAGCGGATGCTGCAGTGTGTGCCCAGGTTACCCTTCAGGACTGGGGCATCCTTCCCCACTGTTGGGAGCTTGGTTGTTGAGGCAGAATCCTTCCCGGGGAGTTGTCCTCAGCAGAACGGGAAGGGAACTACCTCACCCAAAGTCACACCGCCTCCCTGGGGGCAGCCTATCCAATGATGGGCAAGGTGGGGGCATCAAGGCCCTGATCCATTGCCTCAGTTCCAGGCATCTCTGAAGGGCCGTCCCAGCTTCAGAACTCCCTGCAGGGTCGCTGAAGCCTCCGTAGCAGCCTCTTCGCAGCCCGACACCCCCTCTGCCTGCTCCCTCACCCTCACGGTGTCGGCAACACGGGGTGCACTGCTGAAGAAGCCCCCCGTACGCACATCTCTGCTCAGGGTCGGCCTGTGGAAGAGCCTGACCCACAACAGTACGTCTTCTGTAGAAGCTGTTCCCTCTGCCCAGAACGTTCCCCGGCCCCTGATTTCAACACTGTCATGGTGGCAGTGAGGACCTCCTGTCACACAAATGTCCACTTAAATGTCACCTCCTCACTGAAGCTTTCCCTCACCATTCAACCTAAAATATCCTCTGAGATGCTATCGTATCAGCCAGTTCTAATTCTCTGCCTGGCACTTGTCACCATCCAAAACATGACTTGTTTATTTATCATTAATATGTTAATTTTAAAAATTATTACCCATTTTTTCCCCTCATCAGGCCCTATCCTTGGTCTATCTTATTCACCAATGCATTCCCAGAGCCTAGAACAGGGCGTGGCAAATACACGGTGCTTCGTAAATATTTCTTGAATTGATCAATGACTAAAATTCTATCTTAAAAATATAATATAAAGGGAATTGGAGGACAATTTGATGTTTGCATGACTTGAGGCTTTTTGATAATAATAAGACCAAAATTTATAAATTTTCAAAGCTGATTCAGCCTTGGAAGAAGATATATCATTTTTAAAAATCCACTGCCTGACTTGGTGAACAGGAGGATGAAATTACTTCTGGAATGATCTATGTGACCCTTTATTTAGAAAAACAGATATTTTGTGTAGAATTAGGCACAGTACTGAAGGAGAACTGACCACATACATCAGGAAGGAGAGAAGCCTTATTCCAGAATGTCCTTGTGGGACTTAGAAGGAAGGGGATGCTGAGTGATCGACAGCTGCTAAGATTTACCCAGCACCCACGCTAGGCCATATGCTGTTCAAGCTCTTTATCGTACTAAGTCATTTCTTCTTCGTGACTCCCCTATGAGGTAGAGATTATTGCCATCCCCATTTTACAGATGAGTAGACTGAGGCACAGAGAGGTTAAGGACCTTGCCCAAGGTTACACAGCTGGAAAGTAGCAGAGCTGGGATTTAATTCCCGGCAGTCTGACTTAAGAGACTGCACTGCACAGCCTCCCTGTTGCCAGGCAGATGTCAGAGAATCACAAAAACAGACATGAACAAGGTGATTTTTTTCTAGTCTCTTTCAAATTTTCTATTCTGAAATGTACAACATATACAGGTTATTACAGCAAGCGTTTCTGTTGACTCCTTGCTTTCTAGAAACTCCCACTCCCACAGTCCTTTCTGTTGATGCCTCATTTGATGTCCTGGCATTATGGGAATTTCTGTGGCCATAATTTGGGGGTGAAGCGTGCAGGGGAAAATTTGGCCAAGGAAGTAGAACAGAATTTTAAATAAGGCAAAAAGCAGCAAATGTAATGAGAAAAAGAACATAGGGACAAACGGATGGAAACAAGCCAAAAGGCTGGAAATGGAGCTCTTGAAAACAACCTTTGCTATCCTCATAGCAAAACAAGTTGGCTGTTAAAGAAGATTGAGTTACGGCCCTGAATGCTTTCTCCCAATGTTGTTTTCCTCTCACCTGTGGGTGGATTAGACTAGAGAATCTAATATAATTTGCTCCAGAAAGCCCATCGGCTTCCTTTTCTGATCTGTTCTCTCTTCTCCATCCTTCTTGATTTTTCTCTTCCTTTCTTCCAAAGCCTGGGCTTTGCACTTAAAGAGACCCAGCCAGGTTCCTGCCTCTGCCACTTCATGGCTGTTTGCATATTCAGGCAAATGATTTAACTGCCTAAGCTTTATTTTCCTCATCTGTAAAATGGGCATAACAATACTAACTTCATAGAACTGGGAGCAGGAAATGAGGCACGTGTACAAAGTGCCTTGCATGGAGGCCGGCGCATAAGAGACTTTAGTTCCTTTCTCTGCCTCACTTCTCTTTCCCTCCCCTTCATTCCTGAATTCTTCAGGTTTGTTGGGCTGTACTGCTGGGAGACTAATAGTCCTTAATGGACAAGATCCTCTGAGGGGTGAATCTCAGGCATAGAGAGTTCTGGTGTTCAAAGTTACAACATAATTTCTAAGTAAAGCTCTTAGAGCAGAATTCACCTGTAAATATCAAACATGAATGCAATCACTTAACATCATTAAATGTTACATCACGTCCAGGAATTCCAAATATTAAAGAGAAAGCCACTCTAGCAAATTATTATTATTATTGATATTAATGTTAAAAAATTGTACTGTAGTTGCCATTAATTATTAATTCATTAAGGGTTCATTGGTGGGAATGAACAGACCTGTGGTTCTATAATTTGCTGCAACATTATTAATTGAAAGAATGGGTTCTATTAAAATCAATTAATCAAATCCATGTGGAATCCAGTCCTTGCCAGTGTCTTGATGATGGAAAAAAAAATCTCCCCCAAAATAAAATAAACATGAAAAGTCAAATCTCCAGGCTAGATCTAAGTTGAATATTTTACGTATACCTGCAAATAAAGTTGATGGCATGTGGCCTAATGGATATCAGGTTTTTGTGACAATCTCAAAACATCCGGGTGCCATGCTGTACCGTTGGCGGGAAGATCCAGGTACAGGAGCGCCCCCCGGAGAGCGCTGCAGCGGGACTTACCATTGTAGCGTGGCAGGAGTGGAGTGCGGCTTGGACGCGCGGTTATTTTCTTTTTCCTCATCTGTTAAAGAAAAAGGAGCTAACTTCAGTAGGAAAAAGTAAAAGGCCTCTCAGCTCTCCCAAGTTTCAAAAGACTATATTTACCTCAAATATTGATGCTTCGAGAGCAATGATATTTTGGCTTTTCCAACATATTAGACTTATCATACTTTAATAAGAGAAAGAGGGGAAGCTGACTTTGACAGAAAACTCTCCCATCGATTTGTATTTTTATTGGACACAATATGGTTACAGGGTGAGAGCTCTCTTCATCACTGGACAATATAACTGTGTTCCCCCGACTTGCTGTTTACCCAACTGAAGCTGACTTGGTGATTCTGAGCCTAAGACCATGGTGACCTCACCTACCATTTGCTCCTTGTAACCTCAGTGGAACAGATGGTGTAGGGTAAGCAGAGTCTAAGTTCAGAAGAATCAGGTGAGCAATACAATAGAGCAGGGGTTGGCAAACTTTTTCTATAAAGGGCCAGATAGTGAATATTTTAGGGTTTGGGGGCCAAGGGGCAAAATCAAGAATATTATGTAGTATTTATACAACAGGAGAGAAAACAAATTTCCACAAAGCTTTTATTGACAATGTTCAAAATATGATGATAGTAACTGAGTACAATTTTTGTAATATAGGTCTATCAGTGAGAAGAATGAAATTATTTGAGGGGAGTGGGTAACGTTTTTCTTGGGATTCAAAGTTCACAATTCCTATCATCAAACAGATTACAAATATTTATCTGTAAATACCTTTCTTGCCTACAGCCCTATGAAAACAGGCATCCGGCCAGATGTGGCCGGGGTGGGGGGGCCCTGCGGGGTTCTAGTTTGCTGACATCTGCAATACAGCAATCTGAACAACAGACCAATCTTTGCGTACCTAAGAAGAACTGCTCACAATTTCATCATCGACTGAGAAATACATATAATTAGTCTCATCCAATTCCTAATGAAGATTATTGATAGAGAAATACTCAACATAAAATAAAATTTCTTGATCCACAAAATTTGACCTAGGAAGACTGGTACAAATAATAGCCTCAAAAGAAAAGTAATAATCTAAAAACCTACACATATAATCAACAAAATTTAACAAGAACATGTAATATGGTCAATGAAAGAAACCTATGGTGTAAAATTTATATGGAAAATAATTTATACCTATTAATTATTAATTAATTATTAAAATAATGTAAGTAAAACCAAAGCGAAAGTGGGAAAAAGTGAAATACGCTGTACCAAAAAATATTTTAAAATAAATTAGCTTAATGAAGTTGAGAAAATATTTTCTTGATGAAAGTTTATCAATATTGATATAATTCTGGTTAAAATGTCTGCTTATGGAAACTGAAGATGTTTGTTGTTGTTCCTTATTCAATTGTACATACTCAGCTTCCTTATTAACAGAATCCCGGTTTAGAGGGGATCATGCGTCAGGGAGGCTGACCCCTCTCAACTCCTAGGGAGGTGAACGTTGATTAACTTAAATCTCTCAAGGTAATTTTATGTCATCCAGCCACTGATGCATTAGGTGGGCATGTGACCTGGTGCTGGCCCATCGGACTTCAGCAGAAGCCCTCTGGATGCTTCTGGGAAAGATATTTTTCCCTATAAAAAGGAATGGGGGCCTTGACTCCAAATTTCTGCCTCCAAAACTATGAAAAAGCAAATGTCTATTATTTTATATAAATAAAGAGAAAGAGATAGAAGGCGAGAAGGAGAGAGGGAGGGAGGAAGGAAGGAAGGAAAATGGGGGAATGACCCTGGCCTGTCCTGCTTTTGAACATGGCTGAGAGGACACAATAACTGGAGCGAGGCAGCAAACTTTGGACTGGGGGAAGGGCAGCCTGAGGACCAAGTCAATGCTGAGGGAGGCAGAGAGGAAAGGGGGAGAGGCTGGGGGTTCTGGATGTCATGTTGTGCTTCTGACTAACCAACCCTAAAAATAGCTGCCGCTTTGTTTTGTGAGATAATACAATTTTCTCAGTTAATATAACCTCTTCTCATCGGATATTCTCTTCTCTGCCACCAAAACCATCCCAACTGATGGATGTTCTGACCCTAAATGTTCTCAGGGACAAAATGTCCCAATACATCATGGGCTCCACACCCATTCGTGCTGCTTTGTCAACCTGGAGCTCCTTCTAAATGTTTCGCATTCTTGCCAGCTTCCAATAGACACCACCACCTCTCTGAAGCCCTCCCTGATACTCTCCGAGTCAGGCATCATTGATCCTAACTCTGTTCCTCGACACCCCATTTCTTGTCTCTCAGTTGAACAGTGTAGCTGCCGGGATTATCATTTCTGTACATATCCGTGTCCATCTCTGACCTGAGTATCCCACGTAAGAGCTCCTACTTAAGAAGGCGGGATGGTATTTCAGTCATCTTTGCATTCCCTCCCACCAGCGCCTTCTCCTTGGCACTTAATTAAACAGTCGAGTCTGCCTTTCACAAATGTCTTCGACAATCTTTTTTAAAAAAATAACACAAGGAGTATGAGCCCATGAGTCTCAGAAAAAGCTAGGTAAATAGACACAAAGAACAATACTCAACCTCAATTGTTCACAAAGAAATAAAAGGAAAATAATAATGAGGCATGACTTTATATCTCTGAGAGTAACAAAAATTTTAAAAAATGATAATCCCCAATGCTGGTGTGTAAATGGTAAAACTGACAGTCTCATACTTCTCTGAAGGTAGTTTTAATCATGTTTTTGGTAAGCAAGTTGGCAATAATTTTGAGAGCCATCTAAAATGTCCAGTCTCTTGGCCCTATAACCCAACTTCTAGAAATTATACTAAGCAAATAATCAAAAAGAAAAAAAAGGCTATATTAAAAAATATGATCAATTTTTTTTTTAAACAAGGAAAAGTACATACAAACCTAAATACACCTCTGCCTAGCTTATGCTGGAACATGACTAACATTTCCGTTCTCCCTAGAACTGGCAGGGTTTTTGGTGTTTTTTTTTCTGATTCTTTAAATTTTAGCATTTCAGCCAAGCTGGACCAGATATCAAAAGACCTATGTTGTAGAAGCAATTCCAAAACTTACTGGCCATGACTGACAAACCACTCAACCTTTGAGCTTCATTTTCTCCATTTGTAAAAAGGTCATTTTACAGGGCTATGGAAAGGATCGTATTAATTAATTCAACAAATATTCATTGAATAGCTTATTTATGCCCTAGATGCTGGGGATAAAGAAATTAAGCCCCTGCCCTTGAGTCTGGTAGGAGAAAGAGAAAGACAAACAGTGGAGAGAGAGGCCACGTTCAGTAAGAAGTGATGAAGGCTGTGATAAGTTAGGCAAAGAAGAGCCCACCAACCCAGGCTGCATAAAGAAGCAGGTCCAGTCAGAGAAGCCTTCCTGGAAGAAGTGGTAAGTGGAGCTGAGACCTGGAATGGGCCAGAGATGGGCACCAGATGGCAGGGAAGATGGGACGAAGTCGAGGGGTAGGGTGGAGAAGGCGGGGGACAGACAAAGACACAGGGACCCAAGAGATCACGCCACCTTCCCAGAAGCAGGTGGCCGGAGCATGCGTCCTTATTGTGTGGTGGAATGAAGCAAGGATGCTGGAGGGAGGTTGTTTGACAATCTACTAATCCTGTTTCAAGTTCAAGACAGTTTCTTGTCTCTAAACTGAGGGTGGTAATATTGCCTTCCTCAAAGGATGGGTGGAAGGATTAAGTGAAATGAACTTAACAAGGGATAAGAGCTCAGAACATGAGCTGCAGAAGCTCCGTGGCAGAGGCTGCCCTGGGCTGCTCCGGCTGGTCAAGAGGCCTTGGGGCAATTCTGTCCAGCTGGGATCGGCTGTGGGAAGCAGGCAAGGAAGGCCACCTCTGTGCTTGGAAAGATTTACAGGAGCAAAGACAACTGTGTCGACAGGGACCCTGCAAGGCAGACACACACCAGGGGACATCACAACTCCAAACAGGAGATGGCGTTTGAGCTGGGTCCTGAAGAGACCATCAGGGTTTTTAAATAAGTGTTTTCTGTTTGCAAAAATAATACATGTTCTTTTTTATTATTATTAATTTGGAAAATATAGAGAAAATAGAAATCTCTAGAAATCCAAGCCCCTCACAACAGAGAGAACTATTGTTAACCTTTTTATCCTATTTCCCTCCAGTCTATTCTCAGTGTTCACCCAGGCACACACACCTAACTTAAAACAAGTAAAGATCACACAGTTCATCCTGACTTATAACCTGTCTCTCTCACCTTTACAGGGACAGGTCAGACTTTGCGAGGAGGACACTGAGGGAGAGGGGGCTCCATGAGGAATGGTGTGGAGAATGGCAACCTGGGGCCCAGGGGAAAATGCAAGTGGTCTATTCGGCTGGAGCCAATAGTGCTATGAAGAAGTTTTACGTCCCTATTTGATAAATAAGGAAACCGAGCTTCGGTGAAGCTGAATGACTTGCATGAAGTCATACAGCTGGTGACTGGAGACTGGACCCCACTCAGTGCTTGGCATATGGTGGCTACTAATAGTATTTAGACGAGAACTGGTCTGCCCGGCAGCCAACAGGGACCCCCTGGCTCACTCATCACACAGGTGCCGTTCACCTCTGCAGGCCACTTTCTAGACCACTAGTGACTTCGTGCCCAGGGTCTGACCACCCAGCCTCTTTCCCCCAAAGGGGGTGTGTGTCACCCCCAGGCCTGACCCTCCTATCTGATGGCTCTCGATTCTAATTCACCCGAAGTGCTGGTTACTCGTTGACTCGTTCATCAAATATTTATTAAATGTCTACTATATTCCAGCCCTATGCCAGGGGCTAAGGTGAGAAAAAACAGACACGGTCTCTGCTCGCCTGAGCTCAGAGTCAAATTATCAGCAAATAAAATGTAAGTCCTGGGCAAGAGCTGTGAAGGCAGGTCCAGGATGCTAGGGCAGCACCAAACGGGGACGGGAGCCCAGCTGAGGGATCTGAAGGAGGAGCAGGAGCCACCTAGGCGACGAGGACAGGAGAGCACATTTTAGGTGCATGGGGACAGCC